CCACCGTACAAGCCAACAGCTAAATACATATGGTACGTTTAGAAAATGCGGCACAGATTCATCCTATTTGGCGTTTTAGATTCTTTTGAACATGTAGCTGCTGCTTGTCAATCAGACAACGCTTCTGCGCTCGTTCTTGCTGTCAATCGCTGGAAAATGATCAATGAAAAGTTTATGATAAACCGCTGAGAGTTTTATTCAACTGTAGAGGCAGACTCGCCATCAGAGTCAGATTATCATACACAACCTGCATTGAGCTGACTTTATTACAAACACAGAGCAGAATAAGCCGCTGGTCGAGAGCCTCTATGACTGGATTCACCTCTCCCCGTGCTACAGTGTGTGTGTGTGTGTGTGTGTGTGTGTGTGTGTATGTGTGTGTGTGTGTGTGCGGTTACAGCTCGTGCGCATCTTATTATCAATATGAATATTCCGATCAAACTGAACACATCTTACATCAACAACATGTCAAGCAACGCGTTGATAATAACAAATAATCAGATTACAAACAACCGTTATGTTTACACGTGTTGTAAAATGTGCGGGTCCAGCTGCAGTTTGGGGTGTGTGTGAAGCGGAGAGGGAGAGGAGCGGTTTTTAGGCAAGGAGACTATTTTAGGTGACTGATTTGTTGTACCACACGGAAAGTAATAAATATTTTGGACCAAGTTTCATGTGTCCTCTTTCATACACCAGCTGCAACTAAAAGAGAAGGCAATTCCCCACGAAACTAATATTATTCGGCCCTGGAGTAATAAGTTAAGATCCCCTGCTATCTCTACACAACAAAGAGACGGAGCAGGAAAGGTTTACACATGTGATATTTTTCCTGAGGCGATTTAAAGCAAAATACACAATGACACTCAATCAAACACATCTACAATGATGAGGAGCATGGTTACTTACTGACTTATTAACATACAGCAATACCACATGAAGAAATGACAGACTTTGAAGGAGTAATCAGTGTGGGAGAGATCATTATAGTGCACTGGGCAAGTCTGAACATGTGCCAGCGCGGCACGCAGGTCTGTACAATTACTGAATCTATCGGCTTAAAGATATCGGCCTATTTTAACGATAATCTTAAAAATAGCATTTATCGGCCGATAACGATATGGCCGCCGATATATCGTGCATCCCTGGTTTTTCATAATCATTAGAAGCCAAAATCCAAATTGAAATTAGATTTTTGATTAATTGCACAGCACTAATACACATATACACACATTTAACAACACTTTACATGCCAAACGCTCATACCAGCAGGCCATCGGGCCATCGCCATCGTGACTCGACCAGTTATTTGACAGAAGGGCACCTATCAGTGCTGAAAACACAAACTGAGTGAAGTCTCAATACAATAACAGAGATCTCGATAACTTTAACGGTTATTAACCACTGCGACTTATATTGTAACATAAAGACTTTGCATGAGCCGTACATCTCCTCAATCCCTTTATAACAAAATAAAAAAATAAACCACCTTTTAACTCTTCATGTAACTCTGCGTTTGATCTTCAACAGTTTACTACACACAACATTTCAGTGAACTGAACTTCAGAGCGTTAACAACAAGGATGTATTTCAGATAAGACACGTCTCACCCATCACACAAACTAAACATGCTCACTACACATTTACAACACTACGGTATGCCAAGAGGCTCAAACAACACAAGACACTTCAATACCTTGATAGAACAGTGTCATAGCGACATCTTGTGGACAAAACAAAACACTGCCCTACATCTACATCAGACGATCAGCGCAGAGGACAACACCAGTACAACAAGCCAGAGGAGCTTCATCAGCTTCAGGAGACAAATGAGGATGAAGAAACACACACACACACACACACACACACACACACACACACACACACACACACACACACACACACACACACACACACACACACACACACACGCGCGCACACACACGCAGTCAGTTCAGCTAGATCTAGTATTTACTTAGTCGAACACAGAATCACTGACCTCACATCAGCCCACAGCTGTTGTTCCAGCGATGTGTTTGCAGCAGAACTCATCCATGAACAGCTCATGATCCTGCTGGGTGACCCAGTCCGCCGTGTCCTGTGCTGTTAGTCTAGTGTTCATGTCAGGGGTGTCCACACTCAGAGAGCTTAGCGCCAACCCTAATCAGACACACCTGGACCGCTAATCAAGCAGAATCCTCCTGCAGGTGTGCTGGAGCTGGAGCTGGAGCTCAGGCCTCTGTTCTTCATATCTGGATTACTCAGTGAACTGGATTAGGATATTGATGATTTGACATGATCCAGGATCGTTTTGTTCTTCAAAACTGATCTGAGAGCTGTTGTCATAGCAACAGTTCTGGAAGCTTAAACCTGCTCTAGTGCAGCAGCTCATCTCATATAAACAGGATTGGATCGGCTCGGTTCAGGCCAAGATAATACTGAAAGTGTGTGCTGATATTTTCCTACGGTAGTAGATAAACACACTTGTGAAAATAGAAAATAAATATTTTTAAACTAAATATATGAAGTAAAAAATAGATATATATCAATGAAACTTGTGCAATCTGCACTTTGAAACAAAAGTACAAAGACTGCCAACTGAGAGGAAATGTATTGATATGGACTATTCTGATACAAGCGCGTGCAGTCGTTTCAGAACAGTGTGTGTGTGTGTGTATAATTTCCACAACAATAATCAACTTTTTTACAGGATTAATACACGTATGCAGTCATGGACATGTTGTGACAGCTGATATGACGGTGATTTGATGCTTCACACAAGTTGCAGATGCCTTTACCAACAAAGAAACCCTTTTGTGATGCTAAACTGAATTAAACATCCAGTTATTCTTTACACCGATCAGGAAACCGGCTACTATTACACTACTGTGGCTATTATAATCAAGAAAATCCGCTCTAAATGTGAAACTAATCATTGCTGAACACTGCTGACACACTGCAGCCCAGCACATGTGGAGAGTTACTGCCTGACATATTTCACAACCCTCTACTCTACTGCTCATTTAGCTCACATTAATAACTGAATATTAATCAGATGATGTCATCACGCTGCTGTGCCGTCAGCCAATCACTGCATTGCTGATCATGATTTCGAGGAATAATAGATCTGTCCTTCACAACACACACAGCGACCTCAGATCAGTTCATGCAGACATTCTAATCTGATTCACAAACTTGTTTGAAGAACCAAATTAGCCAGAGATGATTGTAGAGTGCAGATCAACACTGAGCTCACAGCAGACATCACACACACACACAGACACTCACACACACTCACACACACTCACACACACATATACACTCACACACACTCACACACATACACTCACACACACTCACACACACTCACACACATACACTCACACACACTCACACACACACACACACACACACACACACACACACACAGACACACACACACACACACCACACACATACACTCACACACACACACGCACACACACACAGAAGAGTTTCCCTCACGCTGCTTCCTCAGTGCTGCAGCTCTTCAGGGTGATCCAGCATCTGATTAGGCTCCACACACGGACCCGCAGGCCTGCTCTCCATCACCTGAGTCCTCCATTCACACCTTACAGATGGAGAGTCTCCTGCACTTGCTGCTGCTGACTCTGGGTCAGTGGTTTGGTGCTGCCCCCGTGTGGACAGAAGCTGAACACAGCCGTCTCCTCTGTCAGAGCATCATCACTGAGTTTGTGTGTGTGTGTGTGTGTGTGTGTGTGTGTGTGTGTGTGTGTGTGTGTGTGTGTGTGTGTGTGTGTGTGTGTGTGTTTGTGTGTGTGTTAGGGTTAGGAAAACACATAGGAAAACACGTACACATATAGTACACATACAAATGCACACCCACACACGAACAAGACATCACACACACACACACACACACACACACACACAAACACACACACACACACAAACAATGAATCCGAACTGAATTGGCTGCAAAGTGAAAGTGATCTGCTCATCTGCTCGCGCGTGCCTGCAGGACAGTGCCCCTGCTGCTGTGTGTAGTAGTGAGGGTCGGTGTGTCTGCTTTGACTGATGTAAACGGCTTGTTTACGGCTTGTTCTTTATTCATATCGCGGGTGAAATGCGTCATAGCGCCTAATGTCTGATTTTGCAGTTGTAATGGATGATCGTTGATGATTAAGCTTGTTTTCATGTGCAGTATACTTAATGCAGTTACTCTAAACACTTTACATGGATACACGTGATTGCTTTATTGAGTTATTTCCACTTATACTTGTTGATCTATTCCATCATTGACAATGTGCCTCAGTCAGTTTAGTGGTGTAATGGCGCCCTCTTGTGGACAGTCAGGGAACGGCTGCTCTGATCATTTGCACTCGCCTGGTGCGCCTTTACTGCAGTTTGTTTTCATATTTTAGAATTATAAATATTGTTATTTGATGTTCAAATTGTTATTTTCATAATTACTAATGTGAGATTATTTCTATATTGTTTCAGAAAACCACAACTTGTCAGTAAATATTGGAATGAGGACAGTATAGGACAGTAAAATAAAGCCTTGGTGTGCTCTGCAGAGATGTTATGAAGTTTCAAAATACAACAAATTCACATTTCAATGTAGAAAATACAACATGTACGTGTTAAGGAGCAGAAATCCGGCTTTTATATTGCTGTTGTGTCCTCACTCGTTTGGGATGTTCTTTATGAACTGCCCCCATGACTATCTAATGGAATAGCCCTGCTGTAAACCTCAGATGAGTGTAACCCTCAGTCAGCCGCTCACAGACCACAGCAGCAGCGTTGAAGAGGAGGATGAGCGCTGATGAGCACTCCACTACACCATCATCATCATCATCATCAGAGCATCAGTACTGCAGACCACACAGCTGTGTGTGTGTGTGTGTGTGTGTGTGTGTGTGTGTGTGTGTGTGTGTGTGTGTGTGTGTGTGTGTGTGTGTGTGTGGTCTCCACTGCTGTTCCAGGATCAGTCATGTTCATGATCATAACTTTATTAAGAGTTCATACAAAAATAAACAGAAGCATCAGGAATATATGAACTATACACACTGCAGCGAGCATCGCTGACCAACACTGAGGAGGAGGACAGAGGAGATACAGACAACTGTGCTGAGAGATCCAGAGGAACCACAGGGCACACACACACACACACACACACACACACACACCAGATCAGGAGGAGCCGGCTCCCGCTCTGCAGAGGAGCATCAGTACAGTAAGTGCATATATATGCTCATTATTGACCCGGTACACTGGGGATGCACTGAGACCATTTTTTGGAACCGATCCTGATACTACAATTCTGTGTCTCGATCAATACAGATCTGATCCCGATACTGTGCTGTTTGTTTTTTAAACCTAATGCAGTTTCTATGGTTCTGGTGCTGGAATAACAGATCCTCCTTCATCAAAATAACAGGCGTATGGGCCTACTGTGTAAGACAGACGACAGCGTCTGACTAAAACATGACGCTTCTCTTTTATTAATGTAGTCAGTACTTTGAGCACAGTGAGCCGGGCTTTACACACTATCATCAGCGCTGAGCATGTTCACCTCCACACAATAAACTCAGGCAGAAGGATGAGAGAACAGAAACTCTTCATCAGAATACTCTTACAGAGCGCCGCGCGTCACGTCTGCGCTTGATGATCACTGAGACGGCGCGCAGCTCTCCGCTCTCAGCAGACGCTCCAGCAGCAGCAGAAAGGGGAGAGATCAGTGTGTGGAGGACCCGTCCAGCGTGCTGTTGAGCCGTTTCTTATTTAAACTTTCAGGAATAGGCCTACAGTGTGTGTGAAGAGCAGGTGATGACCCAGTGCTGCGAATGTTCTGATCATCTCCGTATGAGGAAAATTTGGATCAGAACTGAGCTGCGGATCCGTTGAATAATTTGAACTCCTGCGACTAGGCCATATGCGACCGGCCGACCGGAGGTGACGTATTCCAGTGTTGTACCAGCAGGTTCGTGCGCACGGGATGAGAAATATGAGTTTTTGGTTATTTTTTAAATCTGAAAAAGTCTAAATTATCAAACATAACAACATTTCTGTTCATAAATGCAAGCGATAAAGTAATAATAATATGTATTTGTATTATTGTCTCCACATTCCCTCCAATGTTTACAGCGATCTATGAGTTTCTAGTATTCATTCATTCTGAATCTGTCTGTGAACGCAGAGAATGATGGCTCTAGCTTTGCACTCCTTTATTTCAGACACTGTGAGATTAGCATGGTGCACGTCAGAACTGAAAATTCTGTGCGACTGCCACAAGGGGGCGTGCCACATTCACACGGAGCTTCAGCGCTTGACAGTGGGCGTGTCTGAAGTTGAGGCTGACGCGATTGTCATAGCAGCATCAGCCAATGAAATTAGTCAGCAATCAGCCACTGTCTGAGCTGGTGTATTTGCATACAGCGATCTTATTGGCTGACGCTTTCGTCGACACTTGAAAAACTTCTGCAGTGAGCGACGCAATCTCCACGCTGCAGGACAAAATGAAGCCAGTGAATGCAGAACTGAATGCGTCTCTCCACCCATTACTGATATTAACAGAACTAATCGTGTTGGAGAGTTGTTCGTGCGGTCATGAACGCCACACGCAGTTTGAGTTGTGAATGAGTGGAGAATGATTGACAGGAGCAGCGGAGGAAAGCGCTGAACTGAACATGAGATGACCAGGTGAACCTTCACCTGTGCTGCACATTA